GGCAGGCTTTGTGCCACACTGCTACCTACACTGCGATCCACAGAAAGCCTGAGTCTCATTTGGTCTGATCTTCAGTTTTAGTTGAAAGACACTACGCTGTGTGAAAGGTGTGTATGTTATAAATAAAATACAAAATATTGACACTTGTGCACTGCCTGTGAGAAAAAAAAATCCCTTTTCTTTCAATTTGCTATATTTATAAGAGAAAGTTAAATAAAGTCCTGCCTAGACTTTTCTCTGCTGCCAATATTTACTGTGTAGTTTTCTATTTGGAATCCTTCTCTTTGAGGTTTCCTGTTTCAGGCTTGGAGAGCTCTTAATGCATTTTAATTCCCAAGAGCCACCAAGGTTATTAGCTCTGTTACCAAGCTGGCTTTGAGGAAAAGACATTTCTTTTTTACTTTAACTTTGCATATAGCTTTTCACAACCAGAATATGTAACTCCCATCTCCTTTTTTCTCTTTTGCTCCTTCATTTTACAATGTTGAAGCCCTTCATGCCCCCTTATTATTCAGATAATAACAGTGACATGTTAACAATTTTCATTCAGTCTCAATGATATATATATAGAAATATTTCTCACCAACAATTATTCCATGAGAAGATGCAGAACAAGGACACTCAGGGCACTGTGGGTGTTCGTAAATCTTACTGATTAAGGCCCAAAATCTAGTAAGGGAAAGTGTGAATGAATGGAGATGTGTAAACAATGTGTCTGGACTGCATCCTTAACAAAGCCGACAGAAAAGGCACTGCCGAATCTAGCTGTTGCTAGGCATTTAGAGTGAGTGCGTGTGTGATGATCACATGCTGGAGAAACCTTAAAACCAAACAAAAAAAGCTGTGAGTTTGCGCCCAAGCTTGGAAGAAGGTGGACTTTTTCCAATAAAGTGTTAATTCTACTCAGTGAGGTTACAAGGAGTTAAGTCTCACCTGAAGCAGGGACTACATCCCTGCTAACAAACACCCCAAGGACTCTGGCACAGGAGCCAACTGGCAATGAACACTTTGTGTCCGTGCTATTAAGCTCTCTTAAGCTTCAGAACAGGCTGGTCACGTCTGAAGTGCCTACCAGAAGAGGTACCTTGCTAATTCCTGAATTGTGCCCCGGCCAAAATCTGTGCCAGCAGCTGTTCGACCAATTAACAGCACAGATGACTGAGCTACTGTGCCCTAGAAAGTTTCCCAGCACTACTGAATTTAGTAACACAGATGTAGTCTGACAGGCTTAATGTTAAACATCTAACTTAGTTATTTACGACTTTCTTTAGTCAACAGTGTGATTCATTCAACCTTCCTTAACCATCTATTTTAGGACGGAGAAACTCAACTTCTAAAAACAGTTTTTGTCTCTCTAGATAGTTAGACATGGAGCTTAAGTTTTCTAATGACTAAATTCCAGTCATGTATCTATGTCTTCATATTATTATGGCTATTGCAACATCTGGAAAGCAGAAACAAGAAAACTAAAACTCAGAAGAGTTTATGTAATTTATTTTGGGAGCCTCCTAAGTATGACAGCAGTAAAGTTGAAGTGCAATCTCGGGAAATAAGAACAAACATATCTACCATGCTATCTTATCAAGCATTTCTGCTGTCTTCATAATCCCACGTAAAATAAGGCTAAAACTATTTTTTTAATTACTCACTGCCATTTATATAATAAAGTTAGTCACTATGCAAAGGCACTATGCACTATGTTACAAGTGTTTTTTGTCTTTTCTGCCTCATCTCAAAGTACAAAGATGCTGTAGGCTAGATAATGCTTTGGGTAACCTCCTCCCTGAAGAGTAAAGACTCCAGAATTGCAGAGAACAGTGTAAGACAAAAGTGTGTAGAAATAAAGTGAGGATTTGATTTGCACAATGACTATGAGCAGCAGCAGAGGGTTAACAGAAACTGCTGTTGTCCAGGAGGCATTTGCAGATTTGCCAGGTAGGCTTTGTTCTTTCCTCCTCTACATTTGATTCTAAAATCAGTACACCTTCAAGATTATGTTGTAGAGAGAATTAACATAGACATCTCTTATGCTAATACCTTAGCAGTAATTCTTCAGGAATTAAGAGTAAATATGTATTTGCTTTATATGTCCAGAGGTGATATGATGGTGTATTGGTTATCATTTCGCTCCTAACTGAGGAAACCTTAGTTTCACTTGGCTCCTGTGTTTTGCCTCTTGCTTTTAGACTAGTTCAAGTTACAAATTAGAAATTCACAGAACGAACACTGCAATAGATATGATCAGATAAGATCACTTACCAGCTGATACTTGGATTTCAGATAAAGTTCCAATGGCCCAGTAACCTTGTGATATTGAGCAACTTCTTGCAGATACCATTAGAGCAAAAACTTTCATCATGCTACCTGCAGAAATTAGTAGGGCATAAAATGCTAAGAAAAAAAAACCCAAACCTCCAGTGACACTTCAAGTAAGGAGAAGTAATTCTGTTCATGCACATGAATTGGGAGACCACAGTGGTTTTTGTACCACAACCACATTTAACACATTTGAGAAACTGCAAGAAAATTGAGTGTAATGATAGTAGGACCATTAAGCTGGATAGAGGGACTTGGGATTTATTAACGTGGCGGAGAAATCCTTGAGTGGCCTGTTTCGTAGTTTTGGGAAGTCAGCACATTCCTGTATTATGGTTTTCCCTGTAGCTACTATTCAGGCCTCAGATTTAGAGGACTGTTATTACAAAATAATGTGAATGGCAAATACTTTGAATTCTTCTAACTGTTCCATATAGATTGACTAGTTCGCTTTAAGAAATAAACAACAAAAAAACTTTACTCATTTATTTTCTAGTAATTAAATGTCTAGCAGTTCGGTTAATCACTTTTCAATCTCTTAAAATACTTAAACTACTGATTTTTCCAATTCATCCATTTTGTTCATTCAGTTACATAAATCAGGTGAACTAAGTATGTAAATAGCTTGGCATGAAATGAACAGGGCTGGCTGAATAGACTGTCTAACGGCAAACTTCGGGCTAAGTAACAGTAAAAGAGTTGGAGTGTTTGGAGAAAAATTAAAATGAATGCAGTTTCTGCAGTTTCACTCTACAGACCACTCGAGTGATTACAAAGAGATTTCTTCTCTGAGGCTTCAGCTAGGGTTATATATCCCATTTGGAATACCATGCTTCAAGAAAGATGTGAGAGGGAGGGTGAGAGTCCAGATGAGAAACATGGAATGATCAGGAGTCAAGAAAATCACTGCATAGAAACAAGACAAACAAAGTAAATCACAAAAAAATACAGCAGAGAATAAAGTGTATGAGTATATTCAGCTTACTCATCTCTATTCATCTGTGGATATGGTCATACCTATACATCAGCTGCAGCAAGTGATTAAAAAGCAAGGTAGTAGCATGAGGCATTAGAAGAGACTGCCTATATGCGCTGTGAAAAGGTTAATCGTTTCTCATATCTGTCTACCCAAATACCTACCAGGGACAAGTAAGTACACTTACTCCTGCTTTTGGATAGGGGAAGTGTTTCCATTTCCTGATTCTGCTTTCCTTGTACTGTCTGACTTATTAGTAGCAGGTGAAGTGCTGCACTCGTGACAAGGCAGGGACTTAAGAACAAGTGTCACCTCTCAAAATCTGACAGCCATTAAAAAAAAAGTGTAAAATTGGAGTTATTGGGGAAGTTTCTTCTGCTAAGAAACAACACAGTGTCTAACTAAGGGAAAGCAGAGGACAAGAGGAAATGGCCTTGAATTCTGCCAGGGGAGGATCAGATTAGGTATTAGGAAATATTCTACACAGAGTGTATCTTGTGGTATTCACCGTAAGAGAGGTGAAACACTGGAACAGACTGCCCAGGGAAGCGGTGGAGTCACCGTCCCTGGCAGTGCTCAAGAAAAGTGTAGATGAGGCACTTAGGGACATGGTTGAGCTGGCAGAGTGGTGAAGCACTTAACGGTGGGACTCAATGATCTTGAAGATCTTTTCTGATCTTCTGGCCTCCCCTAATGATTCTGTGAGTCTAAGAAATCATTAGAAAGAGACATGTAGGAGCAAACTGTGATAAATAACTAAACACAATTCAAAGAACATGCTGAACCCTAAATTAACATATAATTCAAAGACCTCAATGAATAAGTTTTTTCAGGGTCAAAAATACATGTAACAGATAAGGGCAAACAAGACCATTACCATGACTTGGCTTGACAGGACTGTTAATTTTTAAGTGACAGAAGGATAAAGCTTAACAATGACCTACAATGGTCCTTCACCTCAAGATCATAGTGTTTTGTTTTCGTCCTTTATTTTTCTTGCATCACTACACGTATTTGCACTATACCAGGACAGTAGTTTCATTTGCTAGGATCAAGTGAGGTGAAAGACTGCAATCAAACATTCTTTAGAGAGGGCCAGACTAGTAGCTTATCTTAGGCAAACAGGCTGCCACACACACGAGCAACCTGCTTGCACTTGTAAAGCAGGCAGAAGGGACATATTAAAAACCACTGAAAACAAAAACCTAGAAAAAAATGCAGGTATCTTTGTCCTTGTATACCCTCTAGTGGCTGTACAGGGTTACAGAAGCTTTACAGTATACAAGGAGGCAGAGCTGCCTTCAAAAAGCCAGGCACAGAGCACTCACCTCCACGTAAGATTTGTTAAGACGACTCACTATAGAAAGATTGTTTAAGATCGGCGTTTTGAATAGGCTAAAATACAGATTCAAATGTTTATGTTTGGAACAAATTCTACATTATTAGCTGAATGCAATAAACTTGAATATAAGCCTTCCACATGAAAAAAATCATGAAACTATTCATGTTAACATTCATACATTCATGACATTATCATACCAAGCATTTGACATGCAGTGAAGCTACAGCAACATCAGTAGGGTATGCTGAACATTTGTTCTCCTCAGGTCCTGAAAGGCTGGAAAACTCTTTAACACACCAGTTGAAGAGGCTATAAGAGCCACCCAGACTGCGCATGCAAGTTGCATGAAATGGCAACAATCACTCCAGTGTGATGGACAAGCACACTTCAGGCCATTTTGATCGTACTTGCTGAAGAACCAAATGAATGTATTATATATTGAATATAATCCAGCATAATAACATTCTTCAAGCGAACAGCTAACATTTGATTTCATTCAGCTTCAGAACTGTTCTCCCACCCCAAAAAGTAAAAGTACCGCCACATCAGTGTACTAAGTCCTCTCCAGGATGAAAGAAAAAAATCCTCATGACTTTAGTAAGACTTACCAAAGGAAGAGAAAGTGCATTCTTTCAAGAACATGCAAATGACAAAGCAGAAAAACAAAACAGCCCAAAGGAATGTATACAGAATAGGCTTTTAGCATTCCAGTGTATGGCAGTTTTATTAAAAGAAAGATGCAACAGCTTTTGCTAGTTGTTAAGATGTATTGAAAACAAAAACACCTTGTCCCTGACAACTGCTGGAGTGCTCACTTTTTAACAATATATTACACAATGTTAACTGGTGTGGTGTGAGGGAAGCAAAAATATTTCTGAGGCATATCATCACACTGATGATATAAGTTTAGAATTGAACAAATATAAATGTGGTATTTGCACAGACAATGTAAAGAAGGCAGAAGGTGAAATACTAAAACTATATACAAATACCCAAGTATTAATTATAAGAAAAATTCAAGATATCTTCTAGAAATTACATCAGATAATGCATGTTAAAGATGAAGTCTTCACAAAGAAAACCCACACCTAACACGTGCATGTCAGAAATGAACTGAAACACGGTCCATAATATGCAATAAATATCCCTTTTAATAAGAAATAGCTCTGTCTTCAGTAGAGAGCATTCAGTGACAGAGCAGTCCGGTCCTCAAGACATTAACAGTTTCCCTTCAAAAGCAGCAGCTGGGAGCTTAGCAGCAAGAGACGGCTCTGTCCTACAGCTGGCACATGCAGATTTCTATATCCCAGATGGCACTAGAAGATAGTTACATGATTGGATAGTTTAGGTAGGTCCTCTTTCATGCTATTCACCTGAATTATTTTTATAAAAGTATACTCATAGTCAGAAATGTAAAAAGAAAAAAAAATCCTTTCTCTTGTATGTCTATAGTCAGAATTTCTGAAGGTTAGGGCCTTTTCCGTTTCTGAAGATCACAGCTAAACAGCTGTATTGCCTGTCAGTCATCCCCATGCCTGCGTTTTGCAATAATGGAGTACAAGCTTCCCATCACTTCCAAAACACTGCAACGAGAAAAAAAAAAAGTTCAATTACCCACAGGCTAGAGCATACATGAGACATACCAACTACAAACTAATTTGCCTTGAAGTTGTGTTAATTGTAAGAAAACTCATAAATGGAAGGCATGATAACATGGCGCATGGCAAGGATTACTTTTCCAGATAGTACTTGAAATAATATCACTTTAAAACATATTAATACAGATCCGTTAACATCAATTATATTTCATTAAATCCAAGCTACTAGTAGCATAACGATGGATGACAGCAGGTTCTAAAGAGACAGAAACAGAGCAACAGATTCTATTAAGTACATTTAGAGGCAATATGTAAAATGAAAGTCACCTCATAGAGGGTCCCAACTTCCTGGTCTGGTGATGGAGCAAAAGATTGGTTCACATATATAAACTGCAGGGAAAGAAAAGAGAAGATGAAAAAACTCCCTGTAAGGTACCTAGAAGAAACATTCTTTAGCCAACAGTGAGTAAGTGGGGATACTCTTTTTCCATTTATTTTTAAATAAAGACAATTTTAATCTTTAAAAACGTGATATATTTATCCTTTATTCCCTATTTATCTTGTTCCTATTGGCATCAAGCTACCTTTGGTTAACATTTTCCCTCTGGCACAGAAGGTCAACACAACTATCAGGATGGGTGTGGATGGGAGAAAGGAGGAGACAGACAGGAAGAAAACCTTGAACTACTGGCCATTAGGTGAAACAGATTTTTAGTAAAGTAAATCTACTTTAAATAAGCAGATTCAATAGCCAGCAGACCCACTGATTTTATCTGATGCTTTAGCTATGCAGTTGCTACTCTTAACTTTACCTTAAATAAAAGCTTTGAAGGGTATGGATTTTAAGATTTTGCTGTTAATACTAATGCGACAGCATTTGCATTCGTAATGACACAGCTGCTCCTGTGTCATACCTATTACAGCTTTTATTTTACCGGAGGCGCATCAGGATATTTTATGAGGACAGGAGTCAAACAGCAGCAGCACGGGGCCTGCCAAGTGCCAAGTATTTCCAGAGCGCCCCACTTGAGGAGAGGGAGTCTCGGGGCGCCCGTACCAGCTGCTCGGAGGCCACGAGCTTGAGGAACTTCTTGATGAAGTCGACGAGCCCCTGGATGGTGCGGGTGCGCTCCACCGCCCACTTCTTGGTCTTCATGATGGGGGTGTCGCCCACGGCCTTGAGCAGCACGTCGACTGCGGGCAAAACGGCCGTTAGCGCAGGCGCCCCGCCCCCCGCGCCCCATTGGCCCCGGCCGCCCGCTCCTGCCGCCCATTGGCCGCCGCGCCTGCCCATCACGGCGCCCCTACCCGTCCCCAAGGATCCCCTCCCCCCCCCGCCTCGGTTACTTTTCTTCTTGGCGTCGCCGGCGGGTTCTTCGACGCCCGGCGAACCGGCCGCGGCGCCGCCCGGCTCTGCGGCTCCCGCCACGGCGCCGCCCCCCTCCGGGGGCTCCTCCGCGCCCTCCCTGCGGGCCTCGCACGGCGGGGATGGGGGAGGCTGCTCGCCCGCCTCCGCCATGCTGCTTGTGGGCGCCACCGGCGGAAGTGACGCCCGTGAGTGGCGTCGGCGAGCGCGCTCGACGAGGCGGTTTGTCCCTCGCGGGCCGCCGCCCGGTGACGCAGCGGGTCACGTGGAGGGGAGGAGAGCCGTTGTGCCGTTAACGGCCCGGGGCGACGTGGGCGCTCGTGAGGTGCCGGCGCCCTGCGTGGGGAGCCGAGCGAGGCCGTGCGGCCCCACCATGATCAAGGCTATCCTCATCTTCAACAACCACGGCAAGCCGCGCCTCTCCAAGTTCTACCAGCGCTATGTACGGCGGTACTGCGCACCGCGGGCGGGCGGGCGGGCGGAGGCGCCGGGGCCTCTGCCCTGCCCTTCCCCGCGCTCTCTTCCCCTCCCCGCCTTCCCTTCCCCTCTCCTTCCCGAGCGCGGCCCCGGCTGCTCGGCCGCGGGTTGCCGCTTGGAGGCGGTGCCCGGTGTTTGGGGAGCGGGGGGCGCCGGGTTTTTTATGAACGGGAGTTCTGAGTAACGTAGTGAGGAAAGATGTTTTTCCATCAGATACTCCAGAATCCTAGAACTTACATTTCAGTGCTCCTGAAGGAGATGGAAAGCAGCTTACTTCAAGGGCAAATATTAATCTGCAGCATTATTAGGCCTTATTTGTGGGATCACAGCTTCATCCTTCACCCCCCAATCCTTTATTTATTTATTTATTTATTTATTTATTTAAAAAGCCCATGCAGTGATACGTGTCTCCACACTGTGGCAGCGTGTTGGAGTTGGGAAGAGGATGCAGCCTTGCAGGGAGAGGAAATACTTCTGATGCAAAGAAACAGGATGAATTGGAAAGCGTATTTATGTGGTAGAAAGGAGACTTCAGAGTAGCTCAAAAGGTGCAGTGTAAGCATTTAGTCTGGAGAAATAGGAGATATGCCCATGGAGAATTAAGAAACAAAATGAAAGTAGTTAATTAAAAGATGAGAGGCTTTAAGATAATGTTTTAGTCATAGCAAAAAGGCAAAACTCTGCATGTGCTGACCTTGGAAAAATAAAAAAAAAAAAATACAGGAGAACAGATGATGCTTCTCAGAAATACATTGGAAGAATTATTCTATGTCAATAATGTTATCTCATTTAAATTTTTTTTTTTTTTTAAACACTTCTGGTGTTCCCACAAGTTATATTTAACTTGGTCAAAAGGAATGTATCTGACTTTGTGTCTAAGGAGAAACGAGAGCTGTGAGAGTTCAGGTTGCGCCATCAGGCTTTTTAATAAAGGAGTGTAACTGATACAGGCCTTTGGCATGGATGACAGAATTTCATTCTGTCTCATAGGAAGGACAGTATGGACAAATTCTAATACATATTTTAAACCATTTTTTCTCCTTTCTCCTGAATTCTGGGTTACTATACTTCATTTACCATTCAAATTAAAAAATCCAAATAAAGCAGTTTCACATATCTATGTTCATATGCATTCATTCCTCTTGTGTCTGTCCTCACTCCTTTTTGGGAAGGTAACAGTGAACTGGTAGGGTAGGTGGATGAAAGACATTGGTATGTAAAACCTGAACTGATGCAAAGCAATTCACTTCTCAATTTCCATTTTTTTTTTTGTCTTTTATTAATATTGTTAAATGCAAAGCCTTAGGTAGGGATAGGAGTAGTAAATACTAGAAGAATTTTTTTTTTCCTGATCATTTATTCCAATTACTTTAATTATTGTCATTAAAAATGCATAGGATAAGTGAATATGCTTATTTGAAGGGAATACTACTGATTTGAAAAATTGAAATAATATAGTAAGGTGAAAATTATGTCAACCTTCTTGTCCAGAGTCAGTAGCCTGTGGTTTGCAAATAAGTTATTTTTACATTGTGTTGTTTGACAAGTGTAACAGTTGCTCTGTGTGGATTATATATGAATTTTTTTTTTAAATCCATGCACATTTTGATATCCATTGAACTAGTACTAGGGGGAAATCATTTCTTTTTTTTTTTTCTTTTTACAAGTAGAAGTTTCTCCTCCTTTGTGAGAAATTAACTTGAGTCAGATCTGTGAAGGATGCATTTCTTTCCTTGGTGTTAATAAAAACTGATAGAACATGTGTATAACTTTTTTTCTTTTTTGGGGGAGGGGAGGGAAGCTTGTCGTGGATAAAATTAATAATTATCTGTTGATTATCTGTGGTTAAGTAGAGTAGTAATAATTCTCAGCAATTAAGTATGAAGATGCATGTGTCATGGCTTATATATTTCACACAATAGACCCGTGGTTATAACTTCAAATCTTGAAAGAAGTTTCTGAGTAACTTTGAAAGTAAAGGCCATTTATGAATACAAAAGTTACACTTTCTCTGAAGTACGTGCATTGTCCCTGCACTTGCTTGATCTGTGCTTCGTGGAACAATATGCCTCTACTGACATTTTTTGTAAATGTCTTTATGTATTCCAGAGCTGATTTGTAAAATAACACTTGACTGTGAGGTGAATATATACAAAATATGCTGGTACCAGGGTTTATTTCATTAGTAGTCATGCAGGGCACTCTGCTGAAATCACTTTTAAGATGCCTGCATGTCATGCCAGCTTGTTAAAGGCAGGACTAGCGTAATCAAGAGGGGCAGCACCAAATGCGCTTTAGTTAGTTCTTTTTATCCATCAAGGCAAGATCTTTGTGATAAGAACACCCACCATTAACTGGCACGATTGGATATCATAGTGATGGGCTTATCTACTAGTAAATAGCAATGAGTGCAACTGAGGACAGAATATTGCTTGTCCTGGTAAAGTGCTATACTGTCCCTTCACCCTGAGTTTGCAGGAGCCTCTCAACCTTGCAAGGAGTTGACAGAAGCTGGTTTCATTTTTCTCCCTGCATGTGCAGGCAACTCTGAACCTTAAGCAATTTGCTAGCCCAACATCCTTGGGGAGGGAAGGGCTCCTTGCTGTCCATCCAGAGGAGATGATCGGATGCCATTCCTGATCTCTGCTCAAGTCGTTGTTGTTTGGCCCTGTCTTAACTATTAGGAGGAAGAACACATGACTGTGTTATGGTCAACTTTACTAGGGGGATTCTTCCAGAATCTTCAGAGAAGTTCCATGTACAAGCTCTTTACATCATCAGCAAGATGAGTTTTGATGCCTTAGTGAGTTTTGCAAATGTATCCATTCTTCAGCAAGTTTACTATTTGTCATTTTTAGTGAAGTGACACAGCCTCACCTCTGTTCTTTGCTGTTATGGGAAAATACACAAAAATTTCTACTTCATGTCTTTGGCACCTAAGCAGTGGTCTTGCAGGTTCACATGTTAACTTGTTGCTTGTCCGTCAGTGCAGCACCTTAGCAAAGAGTTCAGGTAATGTTTTAAAATATATTAAAATTCTACGTATTTGCTTTTTCTTTTGTCTGCTTAAGTGGACTAATAATTTGTTGAAACTGCCCTGCCCTTCTACAAGGGCAGCAAAAGAATGAGGGAGGGTTGAGGCGGGGTAGTAGAAGGACTCTTGTCATGGGAATTCATGAAGAGACCAGTGAACTCAAATTTTACAAGTAATGTGTCCCATCAGTTGCAAAACCTTAGATGGTAACTTAGTGACTTAACAGAGAGTGTCGCTCATGATACCTTTTTATTTTGACCCATTTCAGAAAGAATGATAATTTGTGGGTTTGGATGGATTGTTTGTTTTGGTGGGTGGTTGTTTTTGTTTTGATTTTTCAAAAAGCTATGATGCTGTATATTTTCTGGTAACTGCTGATGTGAATTTCAAAGTGTGTCTATGAATATTCAGTCGAAGTGGACATAGATAAACTTCTGAATACATTGTATTTATTTGAAGGAATTATTTCTAAGACTTACTATTTTAAAATCTTAAAGAAATTTTAACTTTTTTTTCACAATAATCTCGTCCTCTGGTAGGTTAGTTTAACTTGCACTTAAATGCTTCTCTTTCTAACAGAGATGTTGAAGTGACATAAAAGCTATGTGTATCTCATCTCTCAGCAGATTTAAAGCATAAAATTTTGATAATTTAAGGATGCTCGTGTACATTATGTTTATTAGTGGTGTGTGCTGTGTATTGCTTATCAATTTGTTGTAGATTCATATCAAAAAATATTCTCGTCTACAGAGTGAAGATACACAGCAACAAATTATCAGAGAAACTTTCCATTTGGTATCGAAACGTGATGAAAATGTTTGTAATTTCCTAGAAGGAGGCTTGTAAGTATAAAGTTCAAAACAAACATCCAATATTTTTCTGGTAGAAAAGCTGTGGAGCTTGTGACATAACTGTTTCTACAGTTGTAACGTAAGTTGCAGTGTCACCTGAAATGTAGTAATGCATCAGTAACGATGGTACATCAGCACTAAATATGAATATTCTTTACTACTGAAAATGAATTAAGATTTTTTTAATACTGCTGTAATTGAGTTAGTTGCATGCAGACATTTCAGACATGAGATGGGGAAGAGATAGGCAGATGATACTTAACCATCTTCCTTGTAATCTGACTGTATTCTAAGGGGTACTAGCAGCTCTCGTATGTTCTGAGAAAGCTGCAGTATTTTTCAGCTGGTGTTTGGGCTTGAGGTCCTAAAAGTAGACGGTCTTCAATGAAACAATTTCCCTTACTGTCAGAGTTTGGGCTTGATGTGTGAGCTAGGAGAAAACGGAAAAGATGCTCACTAGTGTAGTTTTAACCCAGACTTTTAATCTAATATTACATGAATTTTAAGTGTTAGATGTTAGCAGTCAATTCCTCTGTTCCTTGTTTAGCATTTTCTGAGCCTCACTGTTCTTGTAATTTGAATAAATGTCGACTTAAAATCGATGACTAAAATGATTTAAGGCCAGATGTTTTATAGATACATGTTTAGGCTAATGCTCTTTACATGATTTCTTTTCCCGTGTATAAACTGTAAAGCTGTAAAGTGTGTTTTTTAGGGAAGCACACTTAAAATATCCTTTCATGGATTATGTCGTGTGTGTGCATATGTGTGCTTGTGGTCTTGCTTTATTTGAAATAAATTCTGAAATAGAAGAGTACTTTATTTTGAGTCATAAAGGCTAAGTAAATTTTGAATACCTGCCTTCTAGGAAAAGGTCATAGCTGATGGAGTAAATTTATGATATTCTGTATAAATATAGAACACTTAATATACTGTTATAAACTCTAAAATGGAAATATGCTTGCACTTACTGTCTGCAGAGTATTAATTAAACATACACGTGTACCATGTCAGCTATGATGTCTTTTTCCTGATGAAGATTATTACTAAAATCCTTCTCTTTCAAGTGCTCAGCTGTATATTTTTGATTCTGTTTTTGGAACTAGTTAAAAGGTGGTAACATGCTGGACTGAGCTCTGAAAGTGAAAGACAAGCAATTTGTGGCCTTCAATAGCTTCAATAATAATTGAGGGGAAAAAAAAAAAAACCAGAAAGCAGAAATTGTACACTAACTTTGTGTTCTGGAACATATGGATGAGCATTGATTAATGCGAGTTGGAGTGTTTAACAAATCTTTTAGGATACTTACTTATTTCTTTTCTCATCTCCTTTCTTTTCCCTTCCCCACCTCCCCCTCTAATTTCATGTGGTTAAAACAAAAATGAAGGGATGCTTCATTTTTCAAAAGTCTTGTGATTCAGTGACCCAGTTCTGGTACAGAGTTACGGAGAATTGTGAGCTTCATAGCTGTATAGCTTTAGGCTACAAAATGTTTTCATTTCTGTTTGAGCAGCACTCATACCACTGACAGCAAATGTTAATGATCTAAAGAACAGCTCTTACAGTTACATGTATCTCACTTTGGAAGGCTACAGCAGAGGAGTGAAAGTACATATATTCTTACTCACTAATGAGAACTTGATGTTCAGTGAGCAATAGGAAAAAATCTCTTGCACTTTAACACTGCATCAGGATCAAGTGGTTAGAGTACAGTCATCTTGTACCATCAAATATTATATAGCACAACAATATTATACATTCCTGGTGATGATGCACACTATAAATCCAATTTAAGGTGTGTTTTGTTTTGTTTTCTTCCCCCTTTAATCAAATACCAGTCTGCATTGTTTTTCTCCTTTTAGTAGCCCTGAGAAGGGCAGGAAATGATACTTAAGCATATGCTTTGTTCTTCATACTGAAGATTGATTTCTGTACAGTGCCCACTAGTGTGTCATGGTGCTACATATAACAACCATATTTGGATGAACAACCTGCTTGTTCTGTTTGATTGTAATAAAAAGGTGCATAAATCGGCATAGTAAATAATCTGTTATATGGATAAGAGTAGCTGTGCTTGCATAGTAAATGTAACTTGGGCTGTCTTAATGATTTGTTGGCTTTCATTTGTTTTTTTCATTTTTATCACAAAATAAATGTTGTTGTATAATTGGGTTTGGGAAAGCTCCAGTCATCAAAGGTAAGTCTCCTGTTAACTGAAATAACTTGGGGATTACCCATACTTTGGGTTCTTGACTAAGATTTCCTCTTTCTTTTCCTATTTAGATTAATAGGTGGATCTGACAACAAGCTAATTTATCGACACTATGCCACCTTGTATTTTGTTTTCTGTGTGGATTCTTCAGAAAGTGAACTTGGCATTTTAGATTTAATACAAGTAAGTATTTTGTTTTCTTGTACATGTTCTATTTTTGTGTACCTTAGAATCTCAATATTTAATTTTTCCCCACAGGCTCTACCCAGAATGATAAGATGCTTATTACATAGGTCTCTATCTCATTCAGCTAGTTAAGCGTTTAAAAACTTGATTCAATAGTAATAAACTGAACTATGTTAGCCCTGCATATATATATTTGGAATGCTTAAAAGCTGGCATATCACTGATTTATTATATGACTAAAATCTTGAGGCATGCTATTGATTTTTTTTCAGTGCAAAAAGCATTGTAAGTCTCAAACACTTCATGATTCCTTGCAGAACTTTTTTTGCTGAGGTAAACAGCTTCTCAGAGTTACCTATTGATGTTCAGAATAGCTCTTCAGTGTTCAGTGCTGTTCTAGGTAGTGGATTCAACTTGTCTTTCCAAATGTCTGGGTGTAGATTAGAGAATAATTGTTTTTCTGGATTCTTATTTCTTCCTTGCCCATAGATACATTCTACAGTATTTCCACATCATAAGATAACAGAGTGAAATGTACAGTGGACTCGCATATTTTTAGCAGTTTATTCTGCAGAGTTGTCTTGTGGTTGGTGTATCTTGTCTGGAAGTGTTAAGAGTATTTATGAAGTGAGAAAAGAAGCATGTTAATATTTCTTATGACTTAGGTTTTTTTTTTTCTGATAAAGCAGATACTTATCAATATATTCTGTTTAATCAGAATTAATAAGGAATACTCTCTATGTCAGTCATTCTGACTGGCTACATTGTGGAGGACCATTATGCAAAGTTCAACTAATACTTTACTCCCTTGTCTACTGTGTAGTATATAAAATGCATATAGTATGGTTAACAATTTCCAGTTATTTCTAATGACATGAAGTAACTTAAATTCTCTTTTTTGGTGTGGAAGCAAGTTTTTGGAGCTTATTGCTCAATATTTGTGCCAACCTGTCAAATTAGGCTGTTCTTAAATGTTATATGATATTGTTGCATCCTCTGATAGAAACTTGTTGATCGATTTGCATCTGTCAATACCTGTATTTCACATCTTTACCATTAAGGCCCAGCGTTTAATTACATGATAAAATATAGTTAGTTGAAGCAGATAACAGAAATATTAATTCTGTTTTTAGGAATACTTTGGGTATTTTTTCATTTGTATTATTTTGTTCATAGAGAGTCTCACACTGGTATCTGCACCTTTTCAGTGTTCTCGTTTTTGTAAATCATATGCTGGTCATTTGATTCTAGTCAAAAAGATGCAGAGAACAGTTAAATCTTTTTAGTTTCCCGTGTGGAAACTAAAACGGCTCACAAGAGCTGTCTGTTCAGTTCTGTCAGCAATAGCAGTAAGGGTTAAACATATCGTATACTGGAAAAGTACTCTCAAAGTTTCGTAATAGATTTCAGTCCCATGTACAGTCTGGGCTGGCACCATATGCATAGATGCATTTGCACATCCACTCAAGGAAATAAGTTTTTGCGCTTTTTTTGTTTGTTCCAATTTTTTTGTTTTTTTTTCCTGATTGTCCCTGCATTTTCATACTACTTTGTTTACTGTAACTCACAGTCAGTGCAGTTGAGAGTAAGCTGTCTGGAGTTTGTTATAAATCATACATGCACTGTTTTTTTTTTTTAAGAAATGCTGATTTAGAGAGTGGTTTATGATTTCTTGGAAGTGGATTGGTGAAATCAGCCTACAACTCAGTCTAGTATGTATAGAGTCTTTCTTGTAAATTGAGTAAATCTCTAGTAGATTAGATTATATACAGCAGCTTGAAGTTCCTTTCAAGCACATACTTTTGTTGTGTGTGGTAGTATTTAGAATCCTTCTGGGAAGACTTCTTTATGTCACCATTGTCAGAACTTGGTTCTGACTTAATAGATGCACTGCGTTTGTTCATCACAAGTTAGATAATTTCCCTGTCATTCTCTTAATAATTAACTTAATACTTCAAGGAAATTTCAGCTCTTAGTTTTCATCTATTTTCTTTCTTTTTAATAAAAACACTTGTAGGATTCTTTTTTTTGCTGACTTTAATTAACTGAATGGAAGATAGGTCAGCATCTGTACTGTACTTTTAAAATCATAAAACCGTACTGTAGGTTTTGCAGTCTTTTGAATTTAATGTAAATTGTGTGATTAGCTATAGCTGTTTCAGATTGATCTCATTTGTCTCTTAAGTGTCATGTTAAAACACCTTGAAATCAATTACAAGGAAAATGTTAAGCATCTATAGTTAGACATGAGGAAAAATTGAATGAAATTTCCAGTGGTACCTTACTGTCTTAAGCACTTAAATTTAAGCATCAATTTAAGCTTTTATTTATTTATTTTTAAAAGATTTTTAACCCATTGCTATACTTTCAAGGCATTGTCCCAGAAAGTAGCTAAATCAGTGAGTTCATAGAAGTAGTGGGGAAACAGTGGATAATATTTCAAGTTGCTGTTTTTCATTAAGATGTATGGAGAAAATACAGTGCCTTTCATTTTGAAAGGTGAATTTCTTGTTTCTTAATGATTAATCAGCCCAGGCAGAAGTGCTTTTATGCTAAATAAGAAAAGAAGAGACAAGTGGCTGGGAAAACTATTTTGGTAGATACATACCAAATTAGTTTTAAGGTAGTGCTTTTTGTGTAGATCAGAGTTGAGAGGAAAGTAAAGGAGAGGCATGAAAACTGGAATACAGAGAACATTTTGTTTGGCATTTTAATCTTGAAAGTGTTCTCCTTGAACACTAACACACTTCTGTTTTGATGGATCAGCCAGAGAGAGTGACTTTTACAGTCTTTTCATTATGCTGCAATCTACACCTGTTCTGTGGAATCTGAGTGGCTGTTACGTAAAATTCACTGGAAGAAAGCTACAATATCAGATGCCAAAGCTTGTTGTTTTACAACATACTGTGTAAGTGTGGGGAAAATGTAGTGACTACTCCAAGGATTTATTATTTGGGAAGGGGTGCAAGTGCCGTAGTGATGTCAGATGCTTGCAATGATGTGCACAGGTTCTTGAAGAAGGAAAAAAAGGCTTGTCAGTGGAGAACAGTGTATTTTAACAGTGTTAAGTTCCAAACCAGTTAGAGTTTTAAGCAGTATTTGAGCAGCAAAAAGCAGCAAAGGGAGAATATTCTATGGCAGATTTAATTCTTTTAATATCTACCACAGCTGTTCAACTGAGGAAGGAGGATCAAATCTTCTTGACCTCATCAATGCCTCGCTTTTTTTTTTATTCCTCATCTTTTGCATCTTCTTTTAATAGTATTTGTAGTTGATGGCATCCAGCCTCAGGTGTATTTAAATGATTAGATATCTGCTTTTTCAGTTTATGTTGTTATTCTGATCTGAATGCATTTTATTTCTTTGTCTTAGTGTGCCTAATTAAAAATTGGCTGTTCATTGTAAAGATGCTGTCTTGTGTTTTTCTGACATATTACTGAGTACAGTGAGCTCCTGCTTTCTGTTGTTGTGTTTGTATCAATTAACATTTTGATGTTTTGATTATTGTCATTCACTTTCTATTATATATCTGTTTTTTTCATGGTAAATATATTTTTAATAAAAATTAATTTCCCCTTTTTTTTCCCCCTTGTTTACTTTTATGGACATATGCACAGACTATGTTTTCTTCAAATTGTGAGAGACTGATTTCAAAAGCTAAACACAGGGGGGAGCTAGATATTCATTTTGACTTCATAATTATTTAACGAATATATTTTTACTCTTTCTTTTTGTCTTTATTTTTCTGGCCTTTATTTGAGATTGTATATTTCTTTTTTTTCTTCACTAGAATCTATTTCCGTCATAACTTTTTTTTTTCTTTTTAAAGAAGTTCTTTAAAGGAAAAATCTCTCAGATTGTAGTTTTCTGATTCATGTAAAGTTTGGTGGTTTTCCTCATCTGGTAACATCACAAACTATCTGAACTGACATGTGGTGGGTTTTTTGTTTGTTTGTTTTTCCTGAAACAAGTAGTACATTTTCCTCTTTTGGTTATTTTGATCTGCATGTCTGACACATCTGAAGTAATTACTGAAGTCCTTAAAGTCTGTGTCTGCTTTAGCACAACTTATTATAATGAGCAGTCAACCAAAACTGTAGTGAATCCCAGAATCACCGAATGGTTAAGGGTGGAAGGGACTTTTAGAGATAGGATGAGGGGCATAAGCTGAAACACAGGAAGTTCCATCTCCAGGTGAGGAGGAACTTCTTTCCTGTGAGGGTGACAGAGCCCTGGCACAGGCTGCCCAGGGAGGTTGTGGAGTCTCCTACTCTGGAGGTCTTCAAAACCTGCCTGGATGCCGCCCTGTGCCACATGCTCTAGGTGTGCCTGCTTGAGCAGGAAGGTTGGACTAGATGATCTCTAGAGGTCCCTTCCAACCTTGAATATTCTGTGATTCTGCGATCTAGATCTCTACCCCTTCTATAGCTGATATCAGACAGCACTATCTTTGCATTCTCATTCTGCTCAGATACAAAGAAAGTAAGAAAGCGTTTCTGGTCAGTAGTGTTGCTGCACATTATTGTGGACTATGTAGTTTGTGCTGCTTAAGGTAGTTTATTAACTTGCTGGTCTTTGTTGTTTACAGAAGGCTTACCGTCACAGCAAATTAACAACTACTTGAAGAAAAAGGCTGGCTTTATTTAATTTCAGTGAAATTTAACAGAAACTCCTCCATTTAGTTTGTCAATTGCTGTCAGTGACCTGTCTTGCATTTGCTTAAGAAAATGCTCAGTGTTTTTGCTTTAAATTATGTGTTCATGTTAAAGAATAATCTGTAAGTGCACTGAAAAAGTTTGATGTAATTTGACTCTAAAATGGTGGTGATTAATAGTAGTAATTAGCAGCAATGGAATGTGATGAATAAAATACTGTTCAGGAATCATGCCATATTTGTGTGAGGCATCAGCCCTATTCGACATATTGTTAAGTATACCAATGACATGTTTCCTTACCAGCTGGGCACTGCAATTTATCATATAATTTACCAAGTACTGTGTATCATTCTTCTTGTACTGTTTCCTCCAAAACAAAGGCCTACGTAGTTTCTAGAGTCACTACTTAAATTTTGTGAGGTCTCTTGGACAATTTTTTAAATGCACCCAATACTCCAGGTGCAGCCTCACTGGAGTTGAGGGGCAGGATGCCCTCCCTCCACCTGCTGCCAACATCCTCCTGATGCAGCCAGGATCCCATTGGCCTTCTTGGCCACGAGGGCACTGCTGCCTCATGGTTAACTTGGTGTCAACCAGGACTCCCAGGCCCCTCTCCGTGGAGCTGTTCTCCAGCAGGTCGACCCCTAATCTGTCCTGGTGCCTGGGGTTATTCCTGCCCAGGTGCAGGACCCTGCACTTGTCCTTACTGAACCTCAGGAGGTTCCTCTCTCCCAACTCTCCAGCCTGTCCAGGTCCCTCTGGATGGCAGCACAGCCCTCCGGAGTGTCGGCCACCCCACCCAGGTTGGTGTCATCTGCAAACTTGCTCAGGGTGCCCTCTGTGCCCTCGTCCAGGTCATTGATGAACAAATTGAAGAGCGCCGGGGCCAGTACTGACCCCTGTGGGACACCACTGGCCACAGGCCTCCAACTGGACTCGGCCCCATTTATCACTGCCCTCTGAGCTCTGCCATCCAGCCTGTTCTCAGTCCATTTCACTGTCCCCTCATCCAACCTACACTTCCTGAGCTTCTCCATGAGGATGTTGTGGGAGACAATGTTGAAAGTCTTGCTGAAGTCAACGTAGACAACATCGTAGTTTTTCCATTGTCCATCCACCCCATCTTTCTGTCATAGAAGGCCATCAGGTTCGTGATGGTGAATCCATGCTGACTACTCCTGATCACTTGCTATAGTGAAATCTGCCATACCACTTCCTGAGCTGTTTCATGAAGCAGTGATGCTAACAAACTATACTAGCTTACAAGGAGCCCTTGTGGATGTCTCTATCTGGCAAAGTTAACTCTAGTTTGGTTAACTGAGATGCTTGCGATGTAGTCACTGGTTTTTAAAAAAGTGACAGCAGCAACAAAACATAGTATTTTGCTTAATAAATGGGTTTTAATAAAATGAGAAGGAAAACTCTGAATCACAGATGTGAAAATTGTAGCACAGTTCTGTTGCTTTTTTCCCAAGATTTAAATTTTAAAAATAAAATGTTTTGTTTAGCAGAGTTACAAAATGACTTATACAAACAGATTTTCCCTCCAACTTACTGCGAGTAAGGTTTGGTTAAAATCATTATGTCAGTAATTTTTGTGAGTGAAAAACTACATCATGTGTATTTTCTGTATTTGCTCATCTCAACTAGTGGAACAATTGAGTTTCTGTTAAAGCTTGACCTTGTTTTTTTTTCCCCTCTACAGGTATTTGTGGAAACACTAGACAAATGTTTTGAAAATGTCTGTGAGCTGGATTTAATTTTCCACGTAGACAAGGTACTGTGATGAGCTCCTTTAATATTACTTATCATGTAAAATGTCTGGTTCAACTGATACTCAATTGATCTTACTTTTGCTTTCACTGAAACCTAGGCAGTTTCTATCAACACATTTCTGAAACTTGAAAAGTATGCTAGAATTTGTCTTTCTAAAGAAAAATAATACATTTATTTTGTGCAGTTTTATTGCATAAATAATTGTAATACTGCTGACACCTGGAAATTCTTTTGTTTTTCAGAGTATGACTGGATTTTTAAGAAATGATTTATTCTATTTTTATTTATGTTTAGAAGTTTTGCTACTTATATTTTTTTTTGCAGGGATTTTTCCGTTTGAGTTTGGCAGTTGCCTTTAACATGCTATGGTGCTGTGTGGTGCTTTCTCTTCCAAATTTCAAACCACTATTGTCTTTTCTGCAAGCATTTAAATACCGTTTTGTTTGAACATTCCAAGCTCTCAGGAATAAGAATCTTATTTACTAAATTGGCTATCAGTTTCTGCACAGTCATTTTTTTCCACCTGGGAACCTCTTTTTGCATCAACAGGAGATGACTTGAGAGGAAAAAGGGGCAAATATCACTTAAAGTGTACTCAGAATAGTAACATATTCACTGTGTGAAATTAACACTTTGAAATTGAGCAAACTTGTATTAAACACTCTTGAGTTTAGAGAACCCAAGTCTTGCAGGCCATGTGTGGAAAGGTGTTTAAGCTTTATCCGTAGCTGCAGAACACATATGTGACTGCTCTGTACTATCTTTATATATTCCCAAAGAATATTTTACCTCATAGTGGTTAAGTTCTTAACTACTAAAATTATTAATGACAAAATGGTATTTTCTTAAATTTTGACTTATGACAAATAATTTTCAACAAATATTTTAGTTAATTTACAAAAAACTCTAAATGAAAATCCCATTAAATATTCTCTCTCCATATGAGAAGGAACTTCTTCACTGTGAGGGTGACAGAGCCCTGGCACAGGCTGCCCAGGGAGGCTGTGGAGTCTCCTTCTCTGGAGATCTTCCAAACCCGCCTGGATGCCGCCCTGTGCCCCGTGCTCTGGGTGTCTGTGCTGGAGTAGGGGAGTTGGACTAGATGATCTCTAGAGGTCCCTTCCAACCTCAGGCCATTCTGGGATTCTGTCTGGAATTTTCAAACTATGAACAAAAAGCAAAAAAAAAAAAAAAAAGGCAAAGTAAGGCAGATTTCTAAAACAGTTGCTCTTTTAGATCTAGTTATCTCTTATTGTGCAGTAAAAAGCGATGGTGCTTGTGCAGCTGTACAGTATTTTTAGTGACACTTAAAGTCTTTTTTCGTTTGTTTTATTAATTTTCAGTTTTGTAGGGACAGACTTAAGTTATTGACCAGTCGTGCTATAAGCCAGTACATTGCTCATGAGAAAAGGGAAAGCACTCTACATTTCACAGCACATTAAAACACTTGCTTAGTAAAATGTTAAAATATCGCCAAAACCACCAGATGAATATTTTGTTATGAAGAACTTCATAGGTTTTATGTTTCTGTTTTTGGTTTGAAGAGGCTTAGAAGCATCGTTGGGCTTGGAATGGACCATGACTGAGATCAGTTTAGGGAGAAACATTTGTTTAACATACAGTGCATCATCTCTACCATTCGCTTATTTGTGATCATTGCCAGTAGAGATGTCATGCTAAATGGTATTTCTTCTATATTTTTCTTCTCTCACTGACTTTTCATTAAGAAAGCAAAATTAATTTCACTTATGTCTTAATATTCATTTTTAATGGTTTCAGTATCAACATCTTTGATATTTTTGATATAAAAGCATCTTAAATTTTTACATCATGATGTAAATGTACATGTGTACATCATGATGTAAAAATTTATCAAGTCCGTGTTATAAAGCCTTCCATATGACTAAGATAGTGAATTGCCTGAAAAGTCAGTATGTGTGATCCCTCCTCCCTTTCCAGCTGTTGACTCTGTCTTTTGTAGTTGCCTGAGAAATCATTCATTGCAGATTTGTGACCAATAACAAGCGCATCTAGTTTTCAGAGGTTTAGTATTTCGTATAGCCTATCACAATGAGTTATGTCTGTGGTTTCTTATTTTTTTGCATGAGTGCTTGCTGTATGTGTATATGCATATAGTAGTTCTGATATGTGTACAGCTGTAAACTGTTTCCATACCCAATAAGTAAAAAGGGTGAATGTTGGTAATTCTTCTCAGTGAGTTTGTCAGTGTAAAGCATATTGTGGTTGCATATACCTTTCTGATTCTGATTTTAAATTTTAAATAGATTTCATTACAAATCAGGAAAATTAATTCTTTGGTCCAGTGTGCTTTTCAGTTGGGTATGTGATCAGGCACATATTATATACTTACTTGAAGAGAGAGAATAGCTTAATAAGGATTTTTAATCCTTTTCACAAATATTTGACTCTTAAATATTTGACTCTATTCAGCAGCTTCATCAAACATTTATTATATTTCTCTATGGATATAAAGGAATGATTTACCAGGGGAACAACTTGTCAATAATGTTCTTTAGGTATGTCACTAAAACAGAAAGTGTAGTAGTTTTTTACTATAATTTAATGTTTGCTACTTTTAAACTAACTGATTTTTATAGAAATTTACTTCTATACTTGATGCACAGGGAAATGACAGTAATATCTAAAATAGTAGAATTATGCTTCAGTATATATGGCAGCTTTTGGTTTGTTTTGCTTTAATTAGTCATTAGATACTGTGCACTTACAATGTCTGAAACAGAGGTTTATAATCCAGGACTCACATCCTTGAATCAGGGATGCAGACATGATGGATTTTGGATATATCTGTTTCACTAGTGTTGCCTTTTGGCTTATTTAGTCCTTCATTTTAGATCTTGGTTGTGAATTCTAGTTCTAGATTTGAAATGTCCTTGTTCATAGTATAGTCTGCCAGCTCAGGTCTGTTAATTCTGCTTACGAGCCTTGTGTAGGACTTTATGGTGGGTGAGCAACACAACATCTTTCTTCCTTCACAAATCTAGCCCAAAGTTGTTTTTACTTACCTATTTCTGACTATTTTGCTTAATCTTGCGGAATATGCTCTTTAGAGATATTATGATGGATGCTATTTAGAGCTCTTGTTAATAGTGGCAGTTTTCTCACTAAGGACTAAAAATAGATGAATGCTAAAGTTTCTTCTAGTATTGACTAGTGAAACTGCTGAGATTTTAACAGGAATATGAGCAAGGATACTGGAGAAGTAAACATCAAGTTCTTAGGAGTTTTGTACTCAAATTTAGAGAATTTATTAATCTTCATCAAGTGATTTACAGAGTGAATTTTTCTGGGTTGAAGACTCAGTATCTAGATGTTTTTATGATGTTTTTCATTTTAGAATTTCCTGTGGCTTTTTTTTAGGTTCATAATATATTGGCTGAAATGGTGATGGGTGGAATGGTTTTGGAGACCAACATGAATGAAATTGTCACTCAGATTGATGCACAGAATAAACTGGAGAAATCTGAGGTAAGAAGAAGTGTAGTATCTGATCTAAAAACATGATCATATTAAGTGCATACTGTATAATACTATTTGTCATTTAATACCATGCTATACACAATTGCTTGTTGACAGTGCTAAAATTTGATGATGTATAGTAAGGTTAGTATATGCTGCCTTTCAGGTGTAACAGTTACTTAACAGGCTAGCTGATTAGTTTTACTCTTCTAATCTAATAGCAGTGCCTATCATTGCTATTGGGGTACAGCAATAATTCTATAAGAATCTCTTACAGAAAAACCTTTATTTCTAGCATTTTTTTTTATTTTGAAACCCACTAGAGAGTTTAAAATTTAAATGAAACTAGGTAAGAATTGGTAGTTATGTATTGCATATTCTTGTCTGCTAGTATGTTTCTAGCATCTGAAATAAATGACAGTGTATTTAGTGTTGCAATGGTTCTGAAGCACAAAATAATAAATTGCAGTGAAGTGGGCATGTGGCAGATTTAAAGCCTCACTTAATTCCTTTAAAATAATACGAAATCTGCCATTTTGGCAATATGAACACTTAGTATTCAGGTGAGCATATTCGAATGGGAAGATCATATTTTGTATTTGCTCACATCAGTATAAGCAAGAGATACTTGCATAACTTATGGAAATCTTCTTTTCAGTGGACAAGGTAGCCATGTAATTTCATATTAAGCTTTGGATTTTACAGTTCTGACTATTAAAGTGCTTGTCTTTAATAGTGTTGAACTTGTATTTAGGAAAGGAACTTGAAATATTAAAGAGCTACTTTTGGAACGACTTCAGCTGTGACATTCTTTAATATCAGATGTATCTTGTTAGCCAGTATACTGTTAACACATCTTAGCTAAGTCTGTGATAGATTCTTGTCGATGAGACACAGTAATTCTAGAGAATGCATTATCTAATTCGGGAAACATATTATTTTTCGAGTTTGTTTTTAAAAAAAAGACAAAATTGGGACTTTTTCTAACACTGAGGTCAGCTAGCTGGAGAGAAATATTGCAAGTTGCATAAATGTGGAAAGACACTAAATGAGGATAATACACTGAGATCTATCTTAAATATGTATCTTAAACATATCTAGCAAACCAAGAGGTGAATTCTTCAGCTTTTCTTTTTTTTTTTTTTTTTTTTTTTTTGTGGTTCAATGTACATTTTTTTTCTAATGCTGCAACATGACACACTGCACCACCTGGAATCTTTTAATACATTTAATTGTCCGTTTTATGAAATTTCCTAACTGTGCCTAGGAGCAGGACAACACTGTGTAAAAAACAGGAAAAAAATAGGTGCTATAATGATATGCATGGCAGTACATACCCAGAAGGATCTTATTGTAGGTTGTGAAGATGCTCAAAATGCTCACTTTGACATTTTACACAAACTCAGAATGAGCTGTTGATCACAGAGACGGATATTTGGTATTATTCTTGTAAAATAAGGCTATATATGAATGGTCTATTTATACATATGTTTCTCTTATTTGGTACAAGGCTAATTTAAAGTCCCTAAAGCTAAAATCAGCTTTGATCTACATTGTATTAGGCTCATATCTTTTCTACCTAAAAACATTTATTTAAAGTATTTATTCTTAATTATGTTGTTACCAAATCAACTGTAGACCAATTTATGATTAATCATCTGGAATCCATCAATTCAGTGTAGTCAGCCACAATATTTGCTCTTTTCCATTATTCATCTGTAAGTCATTCTCTTGTAAGATGCCTTTAGTATATAATCAGGTGCTGTAAAATACAAAAGAGCATATAGAGCTTAAAGCCACAAGGCAAATACACAATTATACAATGCAAATAGCAATTTTTTTTAAGATTCAGAGATTCAGCTTCAGCTCTTTTTTTTTTTTTTTTTTTAAAATTCAGCATTGAGTTCTAGAGAGTAGAGAAGTAGCTGTCATAAATTAAAACATTTAGTGACTGGGATAAAGTAGAAATTTTCATATTCTGCTTGCCACAGTGCATTTTTTTTTGAGTTCAGTGATGATTTCTTTCAAATTTCATGGTGGTTATAATGCTTAGATACTTTCCCAAATCTGGTAAATATTTACTCAGATTATCACTGGTAACATGTATGTGCTCAGAAATTTCAAGATTGTTATTTCTTTTCCTTTGGTCTTTTTTTGATCAAAACTGTAAGTCTTTTAACGTCTTTCTTGAAGATGTTATTTTCAAGATACAGTCATATCCAATTTGGGCAAACAAAAATGAGTAATAACTTAATATATTATTTGTGTTGAATGGAGGACACTAAGAAATCAAAACTAGTGGATCTTCTTAGTTTTCAATCTCTTTTAATTGAAAGAAGGAATAAATCAGTACAAGCATTCAGAAATTGTTGTTAATATAGCCTATAGCTCGTAGGACTGCCGCATATACCACAGCACTCACATTTTAGCATGCTTGGCCTCTTAGACCTCGGTCATAATTCTTGCATCTATAAAGTAGCTGTGCTAAGGCTGGATTTTCTTTTATAGCTAAAATGATGAGTTAATGAATTTCTGACTTAGCTACATTTTCAGTAGTGATTTGAATTTTTTAATGTGTCCACATGACTATCTTTTAATGTGTAACATGTAGTCATTTGACATTAAATATATGGTCATGTATACTATTAGGTTTTTACAAAGACTTTCAATTGGAATTTAGTAAAGAAGATGAAATTCACAAATATTTTAGTAAAATTATTACTTCAACGACTTAGTTTTCAGCAAAGATTCATGTTTTAAATAATATTGATGGAGTCCCTAGCTTTGATTTCTAATTCTGCGTTTCTATAACTTGGACTGACTACAAAGGAAGTCACATTTCCACCCTGAGAAATGCTGTTTTTAATGTGATTCCGTACCTTTACAGTCTAGTGTTTATTTGTGAATGGTTTTCTGGTCAATCTTCATAACCCCAAAGGTTCATTATGATTAAGGGGGGGAATTTTTGGGAGAGGGGTCACTGGGATATTATCTAGAGCTGCTAAAGGTTTTATAGGTAAACTTGGGCTACCTCTTTTCTATTTGGAGTGTTCAACTGCGTGTGATTTAGACTTAAGTTGGACCTCATTTTTTTCCGAACCTCCTGATCTTTTCTAGCTCTTTCCATTCTTCTCTCTTACAGACCTTTATCTTTCAGTCTCCCAGACAGGACAGGTAGACACAGGTATTGCTGACTTTGAGAAAAAATGTTCTTTTAACAAAAAGGGAAAGCAAAATGATGTCAAAGGCAATAAATTATGTAGGCCAGACTCAAAAATTATGTGTTAAAATACCCATACTAGTCCTTGTAGCCTACTTTTTGTGCTAGTTTCTTCTTGTAGTTCCCTCATCTTTTTCTTGGCTCTAGTGTATTTTACTAGCTTTCCATTGACATCATATTTTTTATTTTATTTCTCTTCTTGCATTTTAGAATTTAACTTTTCTTTATATCATTGTTTAAGAAATAAATACAAACTTGTATGGACTTAAATATCTTCCAAACTATCTGAATAAAACTGGAATGCAGATAGTGAATATTATATGATGATGTAGTAGAAGTAGTTCTGTGAGTGGGGGTGTTTTCTCCTTGTTAATCTAAAACGCATTAATATGTACTCTCCTGCTTCACAACTTAGTGTTTGAAATAAATATAAGGAACTTGGGCCTTCTTGAAAAGAGAAACGAAGTTTTAGAAAAAGTTGCAGGTAAACAGAATGAAGGGGGAGAAAAAGGGCAAACCGTAATAGTTGTATATTTATGCAATAAATTTATTTAGTTTCATGAAGATTATGTAGAAGTATTTCCAGTGATCTTTTGACTCTAATTGTATCAAACATAACAATGAGAAGGGTCGTCAGCATGTGCTAAGCTTCTTTTGTACATTTGCTGCTCTTACAATCTAGATCACTGGATTTTGCTTTAGTAGAGATCCTGCTAACCCCAGTCATTGACCATGCATATGAAAGGGAATTGAGTAAGGAGAAAAATGCATGTCTGAGTTCAGTTTCTGGTTGTTGTGCCCCTGTTCGCTGTCTGAAACATTCAGTTGAGCATGGCAGTGTGAATCTCAATAATGTTGATTACACTATTTCAAAATTCATTACCACCCTAAGTATCTGTGTATTCAAACTGCGGGTATTTTAAATAGCTGGAATCTTAAGCAGATGAAGCTTGTTCATTTTATTTCCAAATAATTTTGCTGTTGGCTTTTTCCATGATCTTTCTAGGATAAATTATGTAATACATCAACATTTAGCAAGTATTACTCTGTAACTAGGTTTGATAGCATTAAATTCTAAAACATTAGTTAAAAAATATTTTTGGCTAGTATGAAACACTACCTAAATTTAAAGCATGCCATAACACATGAAGAAAATCAAGGGAATAACCTTCCTCTACCTAGTATGTCAACACTTTTAATATACTCATATTTAATTGTAAGGTTAGGGAGCTTGGTTTCTGTTTATTTCTTTTATTTATTTGAACAAAGCTTTTTTTTTTTTTTTTCTTATTTCTGTTCTGCTCACACATGTTCTGTTTTATTTTTGGGTCTGGCAATGAAAAACAAATAAACAAATAATTAATCATTCCCATCCATTACTCTTTGTGATTCAAGTGCTTAAAATTTCTAAGAGTACGTCTTAAGTCTTCTTATCTGTTTGGCCTCATTTTGATATACTTGCAGACTTCATTTTGTTTTTTCTCTAATTATGTTCATTTATTTAACCTCATAAGCAAGGGACATGATCATTCCTTTATATTATGTATTGCATCCTTTCATTCTTTCATAACCCTGCTGCTTTGAAGTCATACTTGTTCTGGAAAGACAGGTTGGTATGAAACACCAGCAGCAGACAGATCCTAGTGCCTCTATTATATCTGGAAAAGAGTGGTTGGTTTTGCAAAAATTTGTTATTTCACTTTCCAGTAGGCTGTGTATTTTTATATCTCTATTCTAATGATGCCTAGTTCTGTGTAAAGCTGTTTGCAATGTCAATCTGATTCTTTTTCCTATTTATATATCAAAAAAACAATATGCATATTAACTAAATTTGTGATCTGCAATACTTTTCCTAATACTCTTGAAGTTTTTTAAGAATAAAATCAATGTATCTGGGATCACCTTCATTTAACATTGGTGGGACATTAAAAGGAAAAGTGGTGATTAGAAAGAAAATTGATTTTTGTAGTAAATAATCACCTAGTAAACTAGCAACAGTTCATATTTCTCACTTGTTAAACTAGGACAAGTAGAATAAAAGTTTGACTATTAAATGTGTTTATTTCAGTCTTTAAAATAGCATTATTTTTTGCTTATGTGGTATTATTCATTCACTCTAAAAAGTGTATATGTGTATTTATAAGCATTTTTTGCACTAACTGAAGCTAAACTATTAAAATACACTGTTTCAAGATTAAACTACGATCTTGAGTAACAAATGAAATTGAGAATGCAAAGCAGCTGTGGCAAAAATATGGCGTTTTGGCTCTTTGTAATACCAGCTGTATGCAATTTGTTATGTATTCCTGAAATTTCGTATCTGTCTGAAGTTTCATTTTCGCTTGTCATTTGCTTGCTGTGAATATTCATCATTCACCGCATGTTCGAAGCTTGCCACATGTGTTTTTGTTTTGTTTTTTTTCTTTTTCCTTTGCACCTCATCAACTTACCTGATGAATTATTTGATAATAAGGACAGTTGGAATACATATAGTACAATGTTAGTTATGACATTTTCATCAAGTACTAGCTATAAACTGCTTAAGAGGATACTGGACTGGAAACATTTCCTGTAGTACATTTGTCTTTTTAGATGTAGCTTACTTTCTGTAAAAGAAATAATAAATTTCAGGTCTGCATGCCACTTTACTGTTTGACTTATTAAAAAGCAATGCAAAGGCATTCAGATATAGTATCATTAAAAATAACCTTTATTAGTTACTCAGTTTTGAAGGTTAAGTATTTTTCTAGCATTTCATTGAACATTTTGTTGCAAAATATTTCTTTTAAGTACTGTGTGACTGTATTGTGCTTTATAAAGTTATGACATTAATTCTCATAAATAGATTTCTGCTGTGTCAATATTATATATATATACATTGAGGCAATCACAAGACTGCTTAGTATAGAGAATTCCAGGAAGACAAAGTGCAATAGTTTGATTTTTTTTTCTCTACTCCAGTACAAAATAGCAAAAGAAGCTGGCCAAAAAAAAAAAAAAAAAAAGCTAATCTGTAGTGCCCCAATACTTTTGCCAGGGATCTTCAGTGATCCTGTGCCAGAGTGGTCCTAATGGAATGTGACTGTTGGAAGTTGTTATTGTATAGGGGGGTGGAAGGGCAATGGTTGTGTCAATTTTGGTATTTTGAATAATTCTCAATTGTGTCTCCATTGTATCCTATGCCTTTGGGGCGGGGGCAGGGACTGTAAGTCTGTGTAAAGAGGATAGCTGCAGGTAGGTAAAAATAACGATCAGCTATACTAAAGCTTTTTTTTTTTTATGTCCATTAAAAACAATTAACTCATTAAGTTAGGCTAAGGAGTCTCCATCCTAGTCACCTAGAAAGCATCTCTTAAATTGCCAGCCATGCCTGTCTATGTGGACCATGTCCATCATTTAAAATATTTTTCTGGTTTCCCATTGTGTAAGTTCTAAACTGTGTGATTCATTACCTCTGTTAATACTTTATGAGTATTTTCACCTCCCTTGTGGAAAACAGTTTACATTGCTCCACTTTAGTTTTGCTGAAAAGATTCTTTAATTTTTCCTTTCCAGCTACTGACTCTAGAATTTAAATAACAGATCCAAGTTAGTGAGAAATGCATTTATTTTCTTGTCTGAGAAAACTTCATTGAAAGTTACCTCATGATTTGAAGTGGGTATTTCAAAATACATAAATATAAAAGGCAATGTTTAGTGGTATTTTGTCTTCTGTGCTGTCTTTGAAAGTGCAAATGAGAAAGAAAGAATTGCGGTGCCTAATGCTGCTTTTTCAAGATATTGCAGATTTAGACTTGCAGGCTTTGGGATATTTGCATCAGTAATATTAGGTTAAGACTTTTCCCTTCAAAGGCTTTTTCAGTTCCACTCCTTTTATGAAGTAATCAATATGATACCACTGGTGATATGAAAACAAGGCAAGGAAAAAGACACTTCAATTTTTTTTCACTCTTTTATTTGCTTACACTGTGTCTCTGCAAGCTGATTATTCTGATTGTGAGAGGCCGAAGTGAGAGCAAATTATATGGTTGTCTTAGAGGTTTAAGATAGATTTTCTCAGCGTCTTTCCCCACATGTCCTTCTAACCTTTGGTATATCACATATAAAATTGTTTAGCAGGAGAGATGGAATAGCAGTTGACTCCTGTCTTTCTGGTGTTGGTTTCTGGGAATCCTTCTGTGTCTGAAAGGGGTTTAGTTCAAAAACAAACATTAATCGATTTTGATTATGGGCATTTTTGAAGGGAAGAAGATCTAGATGTAACTAGAGTAAAACGGTAGGATTTTACGTGGTTAATTAGACCTTATGTTTCTTTTTTATGATAGTGTGATAAAAAAGAATGGATTTTAAAAGCTGACAGTGTTATGTTAAGAGTACATTGGTTGTCTGTCTGCTTTTAAACATTAGTACAAGTTGACATGACAGAAGTCAAATGTACTCCCCAGTATAGTTATAGCCTGTAATTGCTATCAATTTCAGTGGAATTCATGAACCTGAAAATGTCTGAAAGGCAGTAGTTATTGACAAATAGTATTAAATAATCCGCTCTGAATTGCAGACTTCTCCAGATGATAGTTTTCCTTTTGTCTTGCTGTATTGCTTTCTCAGAATTATTTTATCTATGTGTGCACTGATTTCTTCAGACCTTAATTCTCTTTTTTTACATGTTTAGTCTTTTGTTGCAAGACCAATTCCTTAGCATGTTACTTCATTTCTTGTAGATTATTGGATTTATTGGGTCTACAAATTCTGAGAATTACTTCTGTGATTTTTCTTTTTTTTCTTTTTGATAGTATCTTTAATGCTCTTTTTTTTTTTTTTTTGAAACATCCCTTAAAGCATTGAAGTTCTGAAAAAATACTTCAGATTAAGTATGAAAGTATGTCTTAAGAATTCTGAGTTGCAAGTCGTATTTATTAGCATTTCAGTAATAAACCTTAATGTGTAAACTTAATGGTTATTTTATCTAAAAGGTAGAATATTGTGGAAGTTAGTGATAAAAGTAGACTTCTGTATTGTTAAATTTATGTACTAATACAACAAATCTCGGACTTTAAATGCAGGGAGAAACTGCAGTAGAGGAGTATAACACAGAATAGGTACTTTAATATTCAGATTAGCATAACCAGGTCATTATATAATGTTTTAGGCCCCTGTTAGCTCTTAATTAGATTCTGTGGGATAATGCGTTATTGCACTTCAGTGGGTCTGTAGTAGTTCTACATGCCCAAAGTGTTTAGCCTTTTTCAAATCAGGCTAAGCCAGCTTGAATTATCTCTTACTTGCATGCATTTAGATAAGTAATATGGTTCAATTAGCATTCAGTAACTTAAAACTGTGCTGTGCTAGCTTTTAGAGGAGATAAAAGACAAAGACAGCATATTGGCCTTTAAATACTCTTAAATGTTTTACGGTCTGCATATTGCATACTCTTTAATAAACCCCCTATTCTTCCTTGCATACTTTTTCATCAAGTTGACATTACATGTTTCACCATATAAAAAGAAATGTGTGAACTGTTTTCTCTTTCTGATTTAATATCTCCAAATAACCCATTTCATTCCAAACAAAATTATCATCTGGTCTTTCTAATTGTGTAACCATGCAATTATTTTAAAATTTAGTTGTGTGTGTAACTGCTAATGATTCTTCTTGTTATCAACTTTGTCTGACTTGTTTTTTTCTTCTTCACTTTATATACAGGCTGGTTTAGCAGGAGCTCCGGCCCGGGCTGTTTCTGCTGTGAAGAATATGAACTTGCCAGAGATCCCAAGAAATATTAATATTGGTGACATCAGTATAAAAGTGCCAAATCTGCCCTCTTTTAAATAACATGGCTACTCCAGGTAAAAAATGTAGTAGAGGTTTACCACATAATTGTTTACTAAATAAATGACATGTCTAACTTTTGCTATTTGGATAAAACTCAAGGTACTGTATAGATACCATGTGAAAAATCTGTGTGGAGTTGAATGTTGCTTTCGTCTTGCTCAGTGAAATTAAAGGAAATGGGTAGTTCCCGCGTGATTCCTAAATTACATTCCTATGCCCCTGTAAGGCATATCACTGTGTCTCGGCTGCTACAGTATTTTGGGGAAGTATTTAAGATGTTCTTTACTTTGTATAACCTACAATGTTGAGGTTTTTGTATATTCACTAAGGTCTATAGTTAGTGCATTCCTTAACTACTTCTGCTGTTATGATTATTTAAGATTCAAGCGCAAATGTTGCATGAAAACTTTAAACGTTTTTGTTCTGTCTGAATAAAATGATTACAAACTTGACTTCTATATACCTGTTTGTCTGAAATCTGCTCTTTGCAATAAATCACTTTTTGCTATTGATTGAGCCAACTGACTATGTATAAGTACTACTTTAACAAGCATTAATGTTATATTTTAATTGGTGAAAGAATTACACTGGCATATTGTGTTGAAAATACTGACTCTTCACCTTTTTCATAAAAGCTATCGTTATTCCAGTGAAAAAATATATCTTTATTAAAGAATTAATAACTTTTATGTACATATAAATGTTGAGAAGACACACATGTCAACTGGTGGACTTTCTATGATGTCTGACTTTTCTTTGGAGAGAAAAGTGATCCAAAAGCCCAATTCAGCAGTTTTGCTGTATTGTAGGAAGTACTGAATGGAGCAGAAAAAAAATGGCAGCCCAAGTCGTGCATTGGATAACGCGGAATAGAAAAACACTCTGGAAGGATAAATGATGAAACTTTAATAGGACCTCTGTGGATGGTGTCTTTGCAGATCCTGTATTTTGAGAAATAGATTTTTTGTGATACCTAGTATTGCTGAGGCTTCTGGTGCTCTACGTACTATTACTGCTGCGTAGGTACAGTTTAACAGGGGCGGAATCTCACCTGCTTTTGCCAAATTCTATTTCTCTGCTTATCACAAAGACCATGTCATATTCAGAGTAAAGATATTGAAGTTTTCCTCAAAGTCGTTTCATTTTTGAGGACTTAGTCAAAATAATAGCATAAGGATAAACAGGAAATATTGAAACTCCTGGTTGGTATTCTGACCTACAGAGTGTTCTGGCTGTTTGTGAGAAGAACTCATATTTCAAGTATTACTCCAAGTTCTCTGTTTTTTGGTCAGTTTGTTCTTGGACTTGAAAGTTTATAATTTAATCATATAGTTACCATGTTTGTAACTTGTTACAGTGAAATCATGGTTCATGTCAAAATGCCTCTCAGTCATATTTTTCCCAAGGACTTCAGGAAATACAAAATTCAAATGAACCCAGCAAATTTCCTGAAGTCCTTGGGAGAAATATGACTGAGAGGCATTTTGACATGAAGCATATTTGAAATGAATTTCTGATCTTTTATGTCAACAGACAGGTTTCCAACAATTTTAAAGAATAGGAACTTAGCTTTTAGCAGTTACAGAAGAATTTGTATTTTAAAGCTCTTTATATATAAAATACATATAAATACCTATATTTCATCCATAAATGTAGATACCATCCATCCATGATTTCAATCATATCTTGAGCTGCTGTTGCTTTACTGCCTTGTTTCTCTCGGCTGCCATTGTTTCTGCAGGAATTAATTCATCTTCTCTGGATAGCTTTTCGGAGAAAAGACAACAAGCTTTCAGGAATTTTTGCTGCTTGTGACTGGCCACCATTAAGGATCTACAGTGCAAGGCTGTGGCTAGGCAGCTTCTTTATTTCTCTTAGATGGGAAGAAATTACAGAATCACACAGAATGGATGAGGTTGGAAGGAACCTCTAGAGATCATCTAGTCCAACCCCGCTGCTAAGGCAGGGATATCCAGAGCATGGGGCACAGGGTGGCATCCAGGTGGGCTTGGAAGATCTCCAGAGGAGGTGAATTCTCGATCAAATTCTTGATCAAATTTTCATAGTAAAGTTTCAGTCCTTTCAAAGAGAGATTCACACATGCAGGTATGCACACAGAAGATACAATACAGAAAATACAGAAAAAAACAAATAACAATAGCATTTTCTTGAACAAAAATGGTAACGTGATACCATGACCTTCCTTTTTGTAGCAGATACTGTCTCTCCCCTTGCCCAGGAAGAGCTGCTGTTGCACCACTGTTGATCTGCCTCTTACTGCAATGTGCAATGATACCAGTCCCTGACCAAAACCAAGTACCTGAGGAAATGAGGATCCTTGACTGACAGAAATTGTATCTTTACTCTGGGCCTTGCAGACCTTCCCTTCTGTCTTTCCCCAAGGTGGTTGTGCTTATATTTCTCACCTTCTTGAGAAAGATGTGCTTTTCTTAGTTCTTCTGTATCTTCTTAAAGCATTACTTACACTTTAAAATGGAAATAAGTTGGAGTCTTGCAAAGCAAAGGGTTAAGATCTTAATCATAAATTTCAGAATCTGTTTATGCTTTTGTGCTTCATATATTTAACATCAGTCTTTTGCACTAGCTGTTATTTAGAATGAGGAGAAGAGGTTGCTCTGAGTTATCTTCTATTTGCAGAAGCCAGGGAATTAACTAGGACTATTCCAGCTGCACAGTACTGCCCTTTAAGTGAAGTTCTTTGGGATACCAGTAGGTGCAGAGAATTACTGAAAGCTGTTTTTTGAGATTCTTCAGTTTTCTTCTGTCAACAGGACTCCAGACTTTTTTTTTGTGCTTTTACTAACTAGTCATTTCTGAGAATTGTGAATAAAATGTTATTAAACAGTATCTGAGGTTATTAATTCCATGTGTGCTGGTTTTCTACATGATGTTTTCTTTCCTACTCAGTTGAATTTTCTCCCTGCTAATGACATTTTTAATGCAGATTACATTCCCCAAGGAGCAACTTTTTCATGTTCATAGCAGCTTAACTATAATAAGTGTTGTCTGTACAACTTGGTGATAGTCCTTGATGAATTATACATAGAGATACTTTTAAAGGAGATTCTATAACATTAATTCAAATGTCTTATGAAGCATTCAGGGTGCCCTGTCTAATCCATTTTTGATGCCTTTCCCCATACCACCTCTTTTAGTAGTGTCAGAGGGTTTCCCATCATCACAGGTGGTTACTTGTCTCTTGTACTCTTCTGCAAGATCAACATTTCCTGCATTTGTTTGTGTTCTTGGAGGCAGAAGGAGCTGCCATTAGGAAGCAAGTTGAGTGCTTGGAGTGTTCAGATTACTTGTCTCAGTACCATAGCTGATCATTCTCTTTCATTATGAACTGCTCCCTTCAAGTATGGAGATCTCTAATGTGAAATTTGGTAATAGGGAGAAAATTTCAAGAGTCTATAGCAGTAGCTATTGCTTCTTTCTTTGACTTTCTGGTACAATATTTTTTTAGTATGTGAGAGGAAAGAATATTTTCCCTTTCAGGAGACCAGAATTTTGTTTAGGCCCATATAGAGAGGAGAGATGATTTTCTTCCTTCTCATAGAATAGATCCCTCCAAACAAATAAAGAAAGCACACAAGTTCATAGGTGGCTTAAGGGTTTTTGTTGCCTTGTGAACTCACCATTTAAAACAGTGGTGTTGATTTTCCTAGTGAGATAGATGGTGAGTACTGCTGACCATGTTTTTGAAATCTGTCCCTGAAAGAAGGCAGATTGTGATGGAGTGACTGGAGAATGCAGTGCCCAGTGGTGACAGGGACGGCAGAGCGGATACTGTGTTGGTGTCCTCCCCTTGCTTTTTGAAGAGCAAGTTGTCATTTCAAATATGTTTTGGGGGACGAGCTAATATTTACAATACCTCAAGTGTGTATCATAAATTCCTTCTCTAAAACAGATGTTGCTGCTCTGATTCGTCCTGCGTGAGAGGAATGGGTGGAGGAGGGGTCCCCTGTTGCATGAGAGAGACAGGTTCAGGATGGAAGCTTAAACTGTCCGTGCTTTCCTGTGAGCACATTTGACCTCTTCTTTCCAATAGCACATTCCAATAAATGTTAAGATAATCATAGATTTTAGTAGATCCTACTCTTGACATCCAAAGAGGAGCTTGCTAACTTTGTAATGGTCACATAATAAAGTTGCTTGCAAATGAATTCCAGCACATAGAACACTTAAACTATTGGATGAAACTGGGAATTAAAATATCACAAAGAAAATCATAGTTTATTTATAATTCTGCTAAAGAAAAACAGAGCATAGATCTTGGACAAAGTATTTTTCAGCTTTTACACAGAGCAGTTATAATTTTGCTGAGAATAAGGGAAGCAACCACGTACTGCCAGAAACAAGGAAGGCTGAACGTTTTTTTCTGAAGAAAATCTTTGTCATATGCTTGTAAAATTTTCATAACAGAAATTTTAAATGTCTTCATCTCTTAATTTAAGGAAGTGATCTGTCCTGTTCCTACACCTTGCATTTCTTAATGTTTGCTCTTCACCTCACAATGCCTTTAAAGATAAGGTAATGTGACTGGGGGAAGGGGAAAGGCGGGGGTGTTGTCATGACCGTGTGTCAGACAGATTTCACCTTATGAAGCGTTAGGAGTGACATGAGAGTTGGGAAGGGCTATGGGGCTGCTTGCACCCTGGTGCACAGTCTGAGTACTCCGATAGCTGGAGTGCTAGAGGTTTGAGATACGGTGAAGGACGCCCATGTGCCCTGTTCTACTGCGTTTGAGCCTGTTCTTAGCCTTTGGAAACTCAGCAACACAAAGGAGTCTCTCCACATCCCCCTTTCCAGCCTGGCTGTGCTGCCAGGACAGCCAAAGTACTTGGCCAAGGAGTGAATTCCACTCTGAGCAGGACCATGAATGTGTCACTGACGCTGGAGCTGGAGGCAGGCCAGTAGTGGTGATTCTAACCTGTGTGCAGGGGCTAGGGCTGGCCTGCTGCTGTTTTGCTCTCACGCCAGTCTGCGGACCCGCTTCTCTTGTGACTGTCATCGTTGCAGAGCCGCTGCGGGAGGCCTCAGAGTGTCAGTCATCTGCAGGGTACCTGCGCGGCCTGACTGTGTGACAGGATGCCTGCGTGGTCACTGCTCGGCGTGTGTCTGGAAACCAGTGTAAACAGCATCTGCATCCTTGCTTCTCGTTTTTCACCAGTGGCCAAACTGGCCAATCCCACCACTTTTGCGCAGGCGGTTTAGAGAAGCCTACAGAGAAGAGTCACCCTGGAGTTCCCCTGGCTGCCAGCCCTCTATAAGGTACAAGGGCCGATGCAGCATCTAATGGCCCTGGGAAGCGATACCGAAAGATGTTAGCAGGGACATTTGTGTAACTGTGCTGATTTTTCCCTACCAGCTTGAAACCCTGGCAGGTAAATGTGATTAGGGACAAGGAGCCCTGATGTAGGTTGCATCCTGTGGTCATGTGCTGACCAGAGAGGGATAAGACTAATAGGAAGAGGTCTTGCCAGA